GTGGGACCCCGTCGCCACCCGGGGCCGCCTTGTGGTTCAGACGTCTACCGGCACGGTATGCTAGGTCATTAGAGAACTCGAACTTCTCATCAGGTAAACCAGCCAATATCTGCGCAGTCTTGGCGTCCTCTTCTCTCCTGGCTGGGGGGGAGAGAATGCGACCCGCCGGCTTTCCGTGCAGTAGTCGTCTCTTGAAGACCTCCATGGCCTCCCGAACATCCTTCGTTATGGTCCCATCCGCCTTCAGCAGGATTGTTCGAGGGCCTTTGGTTTTTGAGCGCTTCACGACGGTGCCCACAGCCAGCAGCGCGCGCTTGGAGAGCGAGGGGAGATGACTGGCGCGCTCATTCCCCCGTCTCACGATAACTTCCGCAAGCCTGCGTCTCTCCGATGCAGGAAGGGTATCCCACATGAACTTTTTCCGCCTGCAGAGGCCAAGCTCTGCACTTCGTTCCCGCGGAGGTGCTTGCGCACTTGACGCCGTGGCATCTAAACTCCGGGGAACTAGGCAGCCGATAACCACCTGGTGGGAGTGAACCGATGGGAGCAGAGAAACAGGAGGCCTTACTCGCGCCACAGGGGTTAGCGAGAAGCCACCCTCGAGGGGGGTCAGATAGAGTAGATCTGGCTGAGTGCCCGCCCGTGGGTAGGTGATCTGCAGGGGACCTAAGGCGTTCTGCAGGGAGAGGCGCTCACTGAGCAGCCCCCGAACCTCGCGCTTCAGATCATTGTGTCGGTCGTACCTGTTGGGCTGCGCCGAGACCACCGGACCCCAGGAAAGGTTCCAGTCACCAGCAGCCACACAGAGTGACCCTGGCTGCATCACCTTGAGGTAGTCCCTCAGTGGCTCAAGGTGAGTCTGTTGCAGACTGGGCCGTAGGTATCCTCCTAACAGAGTTCCCGCGATCTGCTTGTGTTGGATCGTGATCGTGCCAAAAGAGGGGATGCCTGGCACCACCTGGAAGGTGGTCTTGCCAGGCATGAGACAGGAGAAAGCCACGAGGAGCAGCGCATCCTCCACTGCGTGTATGGCGTAGCGACCACTCATGGTCGCCTTCAGACACCGAACTACCTTCCGCGAGACGGTGCTGTCTGACGCTCGCAGGCCAGTCTCTGAGCAGACCACCACCTGGGCGTCCGTAGCCATGATTTCACACGCCAGCTCACGCCAGGCCTTGTTCGCCCTGGAGTCCACGTTCAACAGGGCAACCCTGAAGTCAGAGTCTTTACCCCATTGGTGGTCCGGCGAGGGTTCGGAGTGCAGCGCTAGCTTAGCGCGCAGCTCCGGTATATGATATCCCACTTGTCCGCGTCGAAAGTGGAGCTCTTTCCCCCCTCCTGCTTGCGCGCTATAGCCAGCTGAAGCCCGGTTAGTACGTCGCTCGGTATCTGGGTCCGTAGACCCGCAAAGCAGATAGGCAGACGGTTCAGAGCGGAGGCAGTGCTGTATTGCAGCTGGCAGCGTGAGCAGGTCCAAAAGGCGGAGTCACTCCAGTCTAGCCCTGGATGGTTATCTGGAACTATTATGCACAAGCTGGCCGGAAGTGGGAGCTCTTCCACACTGCCTAGACCCTGCCCTCCCGACACCACCTGTAGCATACCCAGAGCATGCGCATGGACCGCTAACGCCGAATCCTCAGACTGGACGTCCCGCGTGCGCCGATCTGCCCTTTCTACACAGCCTGGACAGAAAGAGTCCGGCACAGTGTAGTCAACACCATCTGGAGAGGGGGGCCGGCAGGGGGAGCAGATCATGAGGCTGGGATCAACATCCCGCACAACCGTCCCCCGCACATGCGACTCCGAGGTGCTTGAACCCGGTCGCCTCAGGCGCCGGCAGTGCAGCCGGTCCCACTCCGGACTTGCGTCCACATCTTTCCGGGAGCGTGAGCCTGCAGCTATGAGCGCCTGGCGCTGCTTCTTACAGCGCTGCCATTTGGAGCCATGCACCCAGGCATCGAGCGGCACGATGTTGCTGCGCTGCCTGCTCTCCTGGGGCCGCGTCTGAGGCGGAGCTGTTACCGCATCCCACAGCTCCTGGGGGGAGTCCCGCGTCAGCGGCAGGATGTGCGCCACTCTGCGGAGCGAGAGCACGTCACAGAAAGCTCTAGAGAGAAAAACTGACGAGTACTTCCGCTCCGGCCTGGAGAGGCCCGTGGCACGCCAAACTATTTCCTCCAAAGCGGCCCGAGCCTCGCTAAGGTTCCTCGCCCCCACCTCATAGCCCAAGGGATTGTGGATGAGGCGCCGCAACAGCGGAAGGGCCGGCGTTCCCGCCTCGGCTGGGTCTTGTAGGGAGGGGCTCTCTCCCTCCGTTCGTCCCATTTCCGTCAAGCAGTGGGCACCACTCTCCAGTAGCAGACCCACCTCTGCCGCCTTGTGCGCTACCAGCCGCAACCAGGGGGGACAGCGATGCGACACCAGCACCCTCCTGGAAGAGTAGCCCAGAGGAGTTAGTACCGGGGCCAGCACGATGTCTGCGCTAGTCAGCGGAGGGAGCGCGCCAGGAGGCTGCGCTACTATCTCCGCCGGCTCTAGTGCATTGAAGAGATCAATAGCAAACGGCGGAACCGTCGAGATGACCGGACTCAGTAGCTTGGAGCGCACCGCCCGCCCACCCAGAGGAGCTATCTCGAGCTGTCGAAGCGTGGGGGCTGGGGCTCTCGCTGTGTCCAAAGAGGTGGAGGACGCCTGAGTCGGGGGGGCCGATCCGAGTAGGGGCCCTTCACTTTGTGACTGCGAGCTGGCCGCCGGGCCACAGGCCGCTCGCATGAAAGTAAAAGACGCCAGATCCATGACTGAGGGCTAACGCGGCCGAGTTGGGGCCAGCTTCTAAGCAAGAACCACTAGCCCTCTGCCGCCAAGAGGATACTGTTTACTGGCGGGGGGGGGGGCGAAAGCGTAATCGCACCCAAACTGCTAAGCGTTAGGTCCCTTGCTTAGGTGGTGGAAGCAACCAAAGACGAGGGCGACATCTTGTAGCGCAGACTGTGACTACAAAAAGCGCTTCAGTTCTAGGGAGGACTCTTCTCTCTTTCTCTCGTTCCTCCTTACTTTCCTTTACTTACTTCAGCTGTGCAATAATACAACGCACGAAAAGAACCTCTAAAACGCCTAGGCAATGAGTGTTTGCTTACTCAAGAAACCAACACTCGAACCGCTCGAGATTCCTTTTACTCAAAGCTTTCTTTTCTTCTTAGGAGCTAGTTTGATTAGTTTCCCTTTTCGGAATTCTTCATCTTCAATTTCTGAATCTTGGCCATTCTCGTCATCCTCGCTTTTGAGCAATCGAGGTTCTGACTTCTTTTCTCTTTTTCTCTTTCTCTTCTCCTCACCTTGAGAGGCTTTGGAAACGAAATGCATCGAATTTCCTGCAGTTAAGACTGTTGGCTTCCGAAGGTCTTTATCTCGAGGCAGTAAGAATCCAGGATTTATTTTCGAGGAAGATGAGGAAGATCCAGGAGTTTCTTTTTTCTCAAAACTCGACTTCGGAAAGTTTTTTCCTTCCTCTCCTTTCTTCCCCTCTTTTGAAAAGGAAAAGGAAAAGGAAAAGACTTTTCCTTTTCCTTTTCTTCCTTTGTCCTTGAAGACTCTCATGTACGATCTTTGGTCGTTAGTGATGTTCTTGCTTCGATTTTCCAAAGTCTCTGCATTCATGAAATCAATATGACTATCTAGCACACTTCTCGAAATAGGATAAGACATGCAACAACTAAAAGAAGTTGCTAGAATCTCCTGACTTCCAACAGGTGCAGGCTCAATTGAATTCAAGCGAGTTGCTTCAGTATCTTCATGAACAAAAAACGTCATGCCTGTACCTTTGGGAGTGGAGAGAATAAAGCGAGGATAGTCGTCGAAGAAATCTCTGCAACATAAGATCGTAGAGGAAAGACTGTCCTCTTGTCCCTCTTCTTGGCTGATGATTGCTGAAGTCGAGTCGTAGTTTATCGAGTGCAGAAGAAGATTTCTTTTCAGATTTTTCTTTTCTAGATATCCAGGAAGTTCGGACAAACATTTGTAGTATAGCGTAGTGTCTTGCTTTCTTGGTTTCTTGAAGTAAGAACCGCACTTCTCTACTTTGACCTCTCGAAGATTGGACGGAAGAAACGAAAGTGGAGTTTTCACAATGCTTAGATTTTTGTGAAGATACTCCACTGCATTTCGAAAGATAGCACGAGCGTCTACGTTGTTTCCACACTCTCCGTCAACAACAAGAACAAGACTCTTGTCTTCTATTTTGTTTGTTCGAGCTAGTTTCGGGTCCGCTTTCCGACAAGTTGTCATTTCCAGAAGATACATCTCTCTTCCGTTGAGAGTCAGACTTGTCATTCTGTTTGCAAGCATCAAAGAAGCCACATCCCTCCGACCCTAGAGGAAAATGAGATATCGTAGTGTCCGAGTTTGCTTGCGCTACCTGTGCCACTACAGCTCCGTATTTTGAGTATCTAGTTCCTTTGCACTGACCCCATTGAAAATCTCTGACCAGCATGTTCACAACTCTTTTCCTTTCCGCTACTTTCCGTTTGTCGTTGCTCTTTGTAGAAAGAAGAGACATGTCGTTGATCGTAACTGCAGATCCTGGAATGAAGGTGGAGTTGCTAACACCAATGGAGTTGACATAATCGCTCAAATGAGGAAGATTGAAATCAGAGTAGATTTTACACGAAGTGCCGCCAGTCTCCTCCTGAGTCTCTTCCACCTCTGACTTCTCTAGTCTAAAAACGAGAGGACTGCGTAGATCAGATTCTTCTTTAATGAAAGACAGAACAGCTTTGGCGAAAAGCGCCTCCTTCTCTGGAATACAAAGTGACATGGTTGGCATTCATATTGTGAATTTCTTGAGCCAAAATTCTCCGAAACATCGGCAAAAGCTTGCTCTTCCACCACTGCAGTCAAGAGGTCAGACTATAGGGCACTACCGAAGCCGTGCGACCAAAGCGAAACCTACGAGACCAAATGTCGCATCCCGTCCACCCGTAGGGAATCAGATGCTTACTATGTCGAAACATCGGGGACGTGGAAAAGGCAATTGAACGAACAATCCAAGACCACAACCCGAGGAAAGCAAAGCCTTTCCTACCGGGTACGAAGCTCGAGGCGCTAAAGGCAAAAGACCAAAAAATGGTCCTCCTTTGGGCGCTATCGGGATTGCGGGGCGACAGCATCGCGGCGGTGGACGACACGGACATCTCCAAAAAAGGAGACGTGTGGCGCATCCACATATCCGAAGACAAAATCCGCAAACAACGCGGTAGGATAATAGAAATCCACTGCAATTGCGACACCAACGCAAAAACAGTTGGTGCACGAAATCGCTTTTGCCCGATGCACGGCGAAGGCGCTGTTATGAGATCTGATTTCCCATTAGGCAAGGCCAGGATAAGTAGCTTGGCGAAGGGAGAAACATAGTCGATCCACCACTACAGTCAAGTAGGCATTCATATGGGCCCTGAAACAGTGACACCAAAGCGAACCAAACAAGACCAAAGGTCGCACCCCGTCCACCCGGAGGGAGTCAGATGCTTACTATGACCTAGGGCTTCTCAGAACTGCCTGATACTCAGCAGTAGTGCCTATCCTTATTTTTTTTTTTTTCCAACAGCTACAGCCCGAAGACTAATAGCACTGCCTGATACTCAGCAGTAGTGAACCAACTTTTTCGCTATAGATTCGAGAGGAAAAACCAAGGCCATTATAACCAAGGCACTGCCTGATACTCAGCAGTAGTGTTAACCACACCCATAGGAGCAGCAACAGAGAGCAGATACACCCAAGGTCGCGCTGCCTACGCTTAGCCAGGACCATAGCTCAAACATGGAGAAACTCAGACTAATCTCAGTAAAAGCACACCCAAGTCACTAACTAAGCCCCTCAGCAAGGACATTAGTCTGAGCAACCCCCACAGCACCCTTAACATCAAGCTTAAACTCCAACAGCCACCAACAGCGCCACCCTCGGGTTGAGCGAAGACCTCTTTCAAACACGGAGAGGCGTCTACCGAACAGCTTCCACCGACCAGCTACTAGTTCTTCTACGGGGTTTTTGTACACTAGTAGCAGCACAGGAACATCGCAGCCATTTAGACCGAGTTTTTTCTCTCACTTTAGGCTAGTCAAGTGCCCACTTGCAAGACGTACGCTTCGTAACGTAAGCCACTACCTTTTCTAACAGGACACCACCCAGCTAAGAGAGAGCCACGGCACCCACCTGTAGAATAGAGGCACCACCGAAGACACAAGCACACTTACTACCGAGCGTTCAGACAAGGGCAGACTAAACTCTGACCGAAAGAGTTACGGCACACTGCACAGCTGCAGGAGAAGACTCGCATTGGCAACGCGACGCGAGTGGGAGCAAGGGAAAATCTCCGTGAAGGAGGATGAATTCCTCACCCACATGGGCTGGGAACAGTCCAGCAAAATGTGGGACGAGTACACAGCCGACCACAAAACGTGGGAGGCTTCGGAATTCATCCCGCTGCACGGATTGCGCAGGCGGTGGCCCTCGGGGGGGGGTCCACCCCCGCGCGTTTTCGTGCAGCCCAAGGCGGTCCAAGAGGACACCTTGGTCAAGCGGACGATCAAGATCACCCCCAAGCAGAAGCTACAGAAGAAAGGGCGGACTCAACAGAATACCGTTACCAAAAAGGTGACGGCCCTAGCGCCAAAGAGCGCCAGTAGCAGCGGCTCAGGGGCACTCAAAGAAGTACCGGGTACAAAAAACGTACGCACCTGGCGGCTCTGAACCTCCAGTCGTCGGGAAAAGGATGGAAGGCGCACCAAGGAGGCGTCGAGAAAGGATGGCCCAAAGGGCTGGAGGTTCAGAGTGACCTTGTCCCCCAGCGGGGGGGACAACGCCTGCTACTGCCGAGGGATTAGCCGCGCACCCGGGCCAAAGCGCCCCGGACCAAAGCGTCCGACGCGAAGAGCGAGCACCCGAAACTTCGCGGGTGCCGGTTGGTTGACTCGTAGGGCGACGGTGCACGAACACCGGCCGAGCCGCGAGAGGGGTTACGACACCCGGACGTTGGTGCGCAACTCTCTCTGGGGAGGTAAAGGCCTCCCGCCGCGCTCCGTGGCAAACTTATGGGCCGTAGGTGCAACGACCGGCGCCGGCAAAGGCCTGGGTCTGCCGAGCCAGCCCACCGTGCTGCCACAGCACTAAAAAGTATAACTCACCAGTAGATTTAGGATCCCCGGGGGTTAAGTCTCCAGTTTGTATATGCACTGGAGGAGCTTGCGGGGGAAGTGATTATACTAACTGGTGAGTTAACTTAGGTGAGAAAAAAGATACGCTCTCTGGAAGGTTCCTGGACGACAGTCGACAAAAAATCCTCCCAGGGGCCAACCAAGCCTAGTCACAAAAAAAAATGACGACTGCCACGCCACTACACGTCAGCCAAGCAGAAATGGAGCACGGCAAAGGCCGCCGCGAGCTCCATGACGCGGTCTGCAACTTCGTCAATCGGGTCCGAACACAACTACACTTCGAGACCTACGGCCAAAAGCTACCACTCGAGTGGGGACAACTGATAGCTGCCGAGAAGCTACAGCCGGCAGCGGTAGCCTGCCAAGCGAAGAAAACAAGCCACCGCCTTGCTCAGACGTCTGAAGACGCAGACGGAGCAGGCAAATGCAGACCTGATAAACGCTACGGCGCCAGAGCACCTAAAAAGGGTGCTACAGACAACCAAAACAAGGAACGCCATCGCAATGAGAAAACTCATCGCATTGACGGGCCATCCGGACACGTCGCTACCGGGCGACGTCCTCCATGGATTTCAAACAATAGGGGAGTACAAGAGTGCTGGCCTTTGGAAGGCAGACGTCAATGCCGCGGAGGCAAAGGACCTCAAAGAATTCTATAGCACCGCGGTAAAAATCCGGGATGCGCCTCCGAAGGGTTTCCCAGAGGAAGCCCTTCGGCAAGTCCTCAAAAACATTGAGGCAGACGTCCAGCTGGGCAGATACAAAGAGATCAATCCAGAGGACCTCAAGGTCATGCCGGCGTACGCCTTCCCAAAGGTCGAACCAGAGAAGGTTCGCGTGATAATCGACGAGCGGTGGAAAAACGACTTCTCAAAAATGTCGGAAAAGGTGAGGCTCCACGGGACGCGAACGGTCCTGGAGATTGTAAAAAGCTACATGGCGCCTGCAGGCGCAGAGGGCCTCACCCTCCACGCACCGGTGACACAGTTCACCACGGATATCTGCGGCCAGGTGGCTAAAGAGGTCGCAGACTTCCGCGCAAAAACAAGCGCAAGCGAAGCCACAACCACCGACGAGCACCGCCAACTCGGCGAGCAGGTGAGGCTCCTCAACGAGGAGAGGATGAAGACCCGCCCGGCAGGTAGAAAGCCTTGCATCGCACTCCGAGACTGGAGCAAGGCCTACTACCAGGTAGGGGTAAAACACCCGGAGGAAAACCCGGTTGGAGTCTGGGACGACACCCAGGGGCGCTACCGCATGTTCCTCGCGGCGATACTGAACATGGGGAACAAGTTCAGCGTCAGCAGCTGGTGTAGAGTGGCGGAGCTGGTCATGAAAATAATGGCCACGCTCGGGCACACAGTAGTGCCAATCTACATCGACGACGCCATCATCCTCAGCCTCGAAGAGGGAGCGGATGAGGCAATAGAGGCATACGAAGCTCTCTGCGACTGCCTGGGGCTGGAGCTCGCGACAAAAGCGACAGCACAGCAGGACTCGAGAAAGAGCCCTATTGTGCGCATACTGGGCCTCCACTACGACACAAGCCCAAAAACGGGAATTGATGTTGTGGTGCCAGACAACATGCTCCAGCAGGTCGCGGAAGTCGCAAACGAGCTCCGGCAGAAAGTGAACACAGGACAGTTGGACAAAAAGGTGGTCCAGCGACTGCTCGGACTGGCAAACTTCATCACCGTGTCCGCGGCAAACAGAGCCGGAAACGAGATCATGAGATCTCTTTACGCATGGACAGAAGACGCCACCTTCGACAAGTTGGTGAAGCAGCGGTGGCAACGGAGAGCCCTCCTGCGCTCCACTGCGGCCATCGAGAAGATGGTCCACAAGGTGAACAGGCTCAGACTCAGGCTAGAACAAATCGTGAAGCCTCTGAGCTTCCTGTTCACGGACGCGTCAACAGATGGCGGGCCGAACGGCGAGCCAACGCTAGGATACGTCATGATCCACCACAGCGGGAAGACCCTCATCCAAATGCAGCCATTAACGGATGGCCGATGGGCCACCGCCAGGATAGAGGTACTGGAGGCGGCCGCGGTGGGCCTCGCCGCAAAGCAACTACCGAGTTGGACCAGCAACTCCGACCTCGTAGTGCTGATCGACAACACGCCAGTACTCTACAACTTCATCAAATGTAGTGGCAAATCCGCGGTGGTGGCAAACACCGCAGTAGACGTAGTCAATCACTGGTACGACAACAATGTCAAACCGTGGTACGTCTACATAAAATCCGAATGGAACCTGGCGGACTACATGACCAGACACGGCAAGCACAAACTGTTCATCAACACCATCCCACGGCTGCAGACGGTTCAGCAGTCCACTGGTGCCCGACTATGGCTGGCTGAACTATGTGAACGCCTGCCGGCCCCTGCTGTCGCTGTCGCTCCGGGAGTTCGTCCCTCCCACGGGAGCGACAAGCGCGGTGGAGGGCGGCAGCCGCCCCGGCACACCACCGACGCGGGCGCTGGCCGGCGGGAGGTCCTGACGCAAACCTGTGCAAAGGCCGGCACACGTCCCCGTAACCCCTCGACGGCGGACGCGAGTCTCAGACCGCCGACTCAAGTCCGCACCAGGAAGCCGGAGCCTGGTCGGGGTCTCCGGAGGAAGGTGCCGGTGAGGAAAGGATAAGGGCTCGGAGCGGTCCATTCACCGCTGGCACGTGTCAAACCGAGACCAGAGGTTGAGCGGGAGCTCAAGCCCCGGTAGTAGGCCGACAGCGCGGGCTGGAGGTTCAAAGTGACCTTGTCCCCCAGCGGGGGGACAACGCCTGCTACTGCCGAGGGATTAGCCGCGCACCCGGGCCAAAGCGCCCCGGACCAAAGCGTCCGACGCGAAGAGCGAGCACCCGAAACCTCGCGGGTGCCGGTTGATTGACTCGTAGGGCGACGGTGCACGAACACCGGCCGAGCCGCGAGAGGGGTTACGACACCCGGACGTTGGTGTGCAACTCTCTCTGGGGAGGTAAAGGCCTCCCGCCACGCTCCGTGGCAAACTTATGGGCCGTAGGTGCAACGACCGGCGCCGGCAAAGACCTGGGTCTGCCGAGCCAGCCTACCGCGCTGCCACAGCACTAAAGAGTATAACTCACCAGTAGATTTAGGATCCCCGGGGGTTAAGTCTCCAGTTTGTATATACATCATAAAGCTGTATGGTGAAGAAATTGCCTGGCCGAGTTGCCCCATTTCAAGAAGTGTTGTCGAAAGCCGCCAGAGTCCTCATTGGCATTAATGTTATCAGCAGCGTTGATCATGTCACTGTCAAGTGCTCCAGTCTGTTGATGTAAATCAGCAATGCCACCAGTTTGAGCCTGCTCCGCTGCGTTTAAGTCAACAATCCCTCCATCTGCCTGATCCAAAATATTGCTGAAGCTACTCAGCCTGTTCGGGGCACATCGTGTGGTATCCCGGCGTTGTGGGATATTGACTCCACTAGCTACTGTGTTTGCACCAGATCCAGCTGCATCAAAGAGACCAGACTGATTTTGGTGCTTCTCCATAAGCCGAAGAGTTTGTTCCTCGTACCCTCCGATGGTGCTGGATGGTTCGGGCAAGTCGACGTTGAGCAAGGCTGCTTCTTCAGGTATGCTTGAAAAACGGTGAGGCATGGGGAAGCTTCCACCTCCTGTGTCAGGTGCGAAACTAGACTGCGAGTTTGTGTCTTCTTCGTCGTCGTTCGAAGAAAAACCCGGGAACGCGAATCTCGGATCGAAGAGCTGCTGTAGCAAAGGAATCTGAGCGTACTTGACGTTCGCTTTTCGTTTCGAGAATGGCACTCTGTCTTTGCGCGGTCCTCGAAATCTTGGCCGCGATGCACCGGAAACGCGCTGTAGTGGTCCTGGAGTTTCACCTCCTGTTAAAGGACCAGCACCACCAGCAGTCTTGTTGGATTGTAGAAGTTGCTGTTGTTATTAGAGCTTCTGCATTGGCATCCTTGGGAGCAACATTCTTGACGTCTTCTTCAGGTAGAAAAAGACCCAAGAATGGTGTTGAGGCTCACGATCAGGATGCTCGAGCAGGAGCGGTAGCCTTAATGTTGGTACAGTAACCTCACCTGCTGCAACTCTTCTTGGGTGAGCTGCTGGCATTGCTCCAGTAAAGAGGGGGCATCAGTGCCAGTCGAGTTGCTGCGTAAAAGATCTTCCTGCTGTTGCTGATTCAGTATCAGTTTCGTTACAAGTGACGAATTGATATTAAAAATGTTGCCGTTGTAGGAGTTGCTTGTTCGGTTAAACAAGTTGTCTTCAGTGCTGTCACCTTGCGTGCCTTTTTCGACCATGTCTACTTCCAACAAGTCGTTCGTGCTGTTCGCTTGTTGCTCGTCGCCTCCACCTGCACTCTGAACACCTTGCTCTGGGATAGCGCGGAGGGTGCCCGAGGACAAAAGAGATCTTCCCGTTCGGTCACTCACAGAGTCGCTAGAAGGAGCGCCCCCCGCCCGTCCTGGTGTTGGCGGCGAACTACTAGATTAGAACCAAAAGAAATCCACTCTCGGACCACTACTTGTCTTGGTTCCCGTTTTCCCTCAAAAAACGGGAGAAATAAGATGCTGAATTTCTTGTACCTCTAGCCTTAACTAGAGGACTGCCGCTGCGCCAGAAGATACGCTTCTTCTAGTTGCTTCGCCATATTCTGAGCATGGAACTCGGCTTCACGTTCACGACTTCTTTCATCTGGCTCTACCTGTAGTTGTTGTCGTAGCAGCTTTTGTGCTCCTTCTACAACTGGTTGTTGTTCTTCCACGACTCTCGCAAGTGTGCTGAAGAGTGCGTTGTGGCTATTGCGTGCACTCGCATGAGCACTAGAAGCACGAGAACCTCCACCTCCCCCGCCAAAGACTCCAGCTGCGTTTCTCGGTCTGGCGGCCAGGTTTTCCAACAAAGGATCGAACGAAGGAAGCAGATTGTCGACAGAGGGAACCTGCGAGGTCTCCACGCTCGTTCGCGACGACCCGCCGCTCCACATCAAGGTTCGGTCTGGCTGCAGTTCGACGCCTCCTGCATAATAGGAGCCTCGAAGAGGGTTGTCCGAGATAGTGGAGACCACAGTTGCTGTTTCGTGATCGTGCATACAATCTCGACGCTCCTCTCGGTCGGCTGCATCGAGTTCCGAGCCAGTACAAGAAAATTCTTGCAAGTCAGAAACAGTCACGTTCACGGTCTGATCTTCGCAACCTGCTGCTACATTATCCAGAAATTGATCACGCTCACGAAGCAAGCTTCCAGTTTCGCTTTTGCCGCGGAACTTAGACGCTGCAGACTGTCGCCGAGAAGTTCCTGGAAACATAACAGAAGAGCGCTGACTGTCACCAAAAAGCACAGAACAACGCTGAGACCCGAACTCGCTCTCTGCCATATCGGTAATCGACAAACCAGCCAGAGAACGATCGTCAGCTGCAACGCTGACCTCCTCTCCGCCCTCTATGCGCGCCACATTCGGTGCGAGGTTCCGAGCAGTCCAAATACTAGATGCGGCTACGCTTTGATTATCCTCCTCCTGCTCCTCTTGTTCCAGCATTATTTCATCGTCCTGTTGCTCTTGCTCTTCTTTCGTCAACAATTCATTCTTTTCATCTTCCACTTCCATGATAACTTCAACAAGCCGTCTCCTCTCCGAAGGAGGAACCACACGCCCAAGTAGAGGAGTACCTCTCGTGCCCTCGACAGCTTGTTCTTGAGCATCATGTCGTTGTGCCTTCGTGGGTGCTGGAGGTGAAGGAGTTGATGTAGTACTACTAGTAGGAGACATGATGATCTCACATCGTTCTTGTTGTTGTTCTTGTTGTGGTTGTTGTTGTTTTCCCACAACTTTTCTTGGTGTCGCCGGTGAATTCGCAGCTTGATGCTCTCGGACAGCCTGCATCAATCGTCGTGCTTTTAGCCGCATCTTATCTACTTGGTGAAGTCGATGAGAATTCCGCTGAGCAGCTTCTTCAGCTGTCAGGCTCGGCGAAGATACTCGTGTTTGTTCGTGTTCGCTTTGCTGTGGTCCAACGTGTTGGTCCTCGCGCTCGTCTCCTCCTCGATGAAGATGTTGACCCAAGTGGTCATATTTTCTCGTACTGCGTCGTCGCTTGTTGTTGAACAACACTCCAGCTGGTGCTAATGCGAGGCCACTTGGATGTTCAGCTGCGGCTTCCAACAATACCTTGTCGTGATCAACATCGTTACCTCCTCTTCCATCTTGATCTCGGTCGCCCTCGACTTGATGTTCCATCAGTTGGAGTTGCGAACGCGAAGCTGTGTCAGTCGGCGAAGGAGTTACACCAGCTGGCGTCGCAGTGCTCGCCGTAGGAGATGGCAATGGCTTGATCATATCTCTCGCGGGTAATGAATGATCTTGTTGGAGCACTTCTGAAGATTCTTCAACATCAGAAACTGTTCTTGGTACAGTTTTACTGGTTATTCCAAACTTCGGAGTAGGAGAGCTAGCCGTCACAGAAGTCCCCTTGTTTTCTGGCGTTGCGTCGTCAGCAACAATGATTCCGTCAGAAGATGTTGTCGCGGCCATGTAGGTCGCGCTCCGCTGCACTGGCGGTCCATCTACACCGACATTTCCAGCGGCGCAAGATGAGGCAGAGACACGCCAGGGGTCGTCGAGTTCTTCCACATCCACAGTCTCTTCAGCATTACCAGTTTCCTCTTCTCGAGGACCAACATCAGCTCCATCAAGATTTTCATGCTGTAGTTCTTCCTCTAGAGAAGCTTCAGCTTGTTGCAATTTGTTCTCCAATACCGGAGACGGAACACTGGTTCGACTCTCTTCTAATATCCGAGGACGGGTCCTAGAAGCGTTTAGGTCTAGAAGAATGCTAGTGCGGCTACTTAAAGCCTGCCGAGCCTCGCTTAGAGAATCAAAATTCGACTCCTCTTCACACATGTTATCCGAGCTCGCACTTGCACAACAAGGCTCTACTGGCGTTTCTGGGATGGGATCTTCACTGCTGCTCGTTAAAACCCCAATCGACGAGCGATTCGAATTATTTTCCGCAACACCAGACGATCCGGCGGAAGCCCCTTGATGTACAACGTGTTTGCCTTTCTTCATCTTGGCAAGTGCATGATTGTTCGTGCTTCCCGGAGTTGATGAAGAGCAGGGGGCTCCTGAACTGCTGCCAGCAGCTGCGCCTCCACCAAGAACCGCAGCAGCAGTAGCACCTCCCACTGCTTCTAAAGCTGCTGCCCCGCCTCCGACTGCTCCGCTAACTGCAGTACGAGTCGTGGAAGACGGCGCCTGCCTTGGGCCACGTGGTCTTCCCCTGCTCACCAGGTTCCCTTTTTTCATGAGTCGTTCTCTCAATTGCATCAAATTTGGGTCTGTCAAGGAAGATCGACGGTTAACACTGGAACTCTGGGTGCGTCGCAGCTTAATATACCTACCAGGCACGACTGAGCCACAATTTTCTTCGGGTTCGCTTGTCTCGGCATCCCCACCATCTTCCAGGTTGTCTCGTCCTCCATCTCTACTGTAGTTCTGCCTGTCGTTGTCCATTTGATTGCCCTTTCCTTGTTTAGACGAGTCATCATTTTTTCTCCATGTCTGAGGTCCCCTCATCTCGTCGACCCTTTGGCCCTCGTATTTGATGTTCGTGACGAGAACACAACAGGCCAAAGGGATACCAAGAAGATCATGCCGAGAACATCAGGGCAAAGGGATAATCACGACTGACCATAACTTGTTGTCGTCTTTTGCGTCTTCCCTTTCGCTGTTGTGGAGGCACGCCCTCACTTGGTGGGCCTCCCGGGCCTCGAGCGGTACCAGCCGCGCCACCCGTAGAAGCACCAGACTCCGCATCATCTATAGCTCCTGTCCCTCTTCTATGCTTTCGCCTTGACCTTCCTGTCCGTTGAAGCGCACTACGCCGTTCGCGCTCATCGATTGTCAAAACAAAATGTCGACGAAAGCCACCAGGCTGAGCGATCTTCTTCGCGGTTAATGATGATTAGACGGAAATGATGACGAGGAATGGACTAGACGGCGTTTAACTACAAGGAGACCAAGACCCACAGATGACTATTTTTCATATTCAAGGCTGCATAGGTATTAGAAGGAAATAATATTTTGGAACTTCATCTGCAAGATGAACTACCTAGTGAAGTATCTTCGAAAATACACCTCCTGTGGTCGTTAGATCTAGTACAGTCCTTTCAAGTTCAACAGTGAACTACATCGTCCCGCCCTTCATAATTGTAAAGTCTCAGACTTGGCAACTTCAGTTGCAACACCGGTTCACTCTGGGATCTAGGTCGTCTCGTTATTGCATCGAAGCCAGCACTTTTATGGATGCATTTTTTCAAGTCGCGTACTGCCTCATCCTCAGCGCCATTGTGCAGAGGACGCCGGTGAGTAGCTCCTGCGCCTGTTGCATGAATGATGCCACTGATTGAGACTCCTGTCGATATGTTGGGAATGTCATTTTTCGATTTTTTGTTCTCTAACTTAGGACTAGGAAAGAGAACGACGCTCCCACATTCATATAGTATATAGGGTTTGTTGTATATTATACAACAATACAATTAATCCCGCACAAAGTTCAGTGCAGCCTGCCAAAGGGCGTCGTAGTGTTTCGCCACGATGATACCTCACACAAGTTTTTAAGCTACTCAATATAAACATAAAGTGGAAACTTCATAGATTGCACTTGTTCCGGCCTGGTTTTGATGCAGTTCATGATCTAGTCGTTCGAGTCGTTCAACCTCATCGTGCAGTTGCTCAAGCTCATGCTCATCCAGTTGATGCACTTGCTGAAGATCTTCTACATCAACAAAAGGTTCGTGAAGAAGAAGGAGTTCCTCTACCTGGTTCTCGTTCATCTTCTGGGTAACTACCTGAATGTGAATACTAGGATAACTAGCGCGACTTGAACAAGCGCGACTCTCTTCATGTTCATCTTCTTCATGTTCAACATCGTCAGCACCTGGTTCTTCATGTTCATCGTTAGCACCTGGTAAAAGTACTTCTACTTCGTTCATCTGTTCCTCAAGAGCAACACTCTGCACTAGTGCTTGTTCTGCGTCAACTACATCGTCCAGCTCCTGTCTTTGAGCATGATCTTGATTTACTTCCATAGCAGAAGAAGCTTCTTTTGGATATGCAGGCACTCCATCTTTCGATGAACCTGCGCCCGACATAGTGATAGTCGATGTGGTCCTTTGATGTTTATTTCGAAGGTTGTAGATGTAGTGGTAGTACTACTACAAACACAACTACTTCTCTCTGCTACTATTTCTAGTATCTAGTACTAGTGGAAACAGAATTTGAATCAATCAACAAACAACATTGCAGTAAACCACTATGTCGTGCCCCTTCTGGTTGTGCTATAGTTGCTTGTTGTACAACATCTTCAAAATATTGTACAACCAACTGTAGTTATTATGATCTGCTGGTGTCAATGGGTGACTAGTCGTGTTAGGATGACGTACAACAACTCTTTTTTGGTGAAACCAGAGCTGTACAAGATCAAGACTATGGCCAGTTGTATGGTTGCATGCTTTATCTCTATGTTGAAATAACAAGTATATTTTGGCATCAACAAGAAGAGCCTCCTTTTTTTTGGTAGAACTGGAACTGACTCAATTAGGAATCTAATAAAACCAAAATGTACAACAATTTAATACTTCTTCGCTCATTACTTTCTAGCTCAGCTTATGAGCTCTACAGTATGTCGCACCATGCTTGTCAGATACAGATGGTTGTCAAAAATCAAAACCTGCTCTAGTACTTTTCTGTGATGATGTACACGTAGTACTAGTTAACACCAAGAACTTTTTTATGATGATGTACACGTAGTACTAGTTAATACCAAGTACTTTTCTAAAATGATGTACACGTAGACGAAGACGTACAACAACTTACTAGTTGTCGTTCTACTTCATAAAAATCCATGATCTATTTCTATCTTCTCTATGATGCTAGTACTAGAAATCCTTTTCATGATCATGATCCTTGCTAGTGCTCTTGTTCCTCTACTCGTCCCTCTTCTACTAGACGACGGAAGATGTGCCTTGCATACATCAACATCGAAATTCGCAGATGTAGTTGCCTTCGTGAAAATCTGATATTGATGTATCTTCACAACATGAAGAAGATGTTCTCCTGCAGATAAAAGCGCAGCGGCACGACCTGGTTTCCAAATCGTGGTAGTTATCGCTCTTCTGCTGCTCTTGAAAACAGAGAGAACCACGATTGGAATTCTAGAGAAGCAACAACTGCGAGTACAATCAGGCTCTTGCCACGTGCATCTTGTTCATCCATCGAAAACGCAGGACGAATTCAAATTGTGCTGTGTTGTTCTTCAAATAGTTTAGATTTATGAATATGATGAATTTGAAAATGAAAAACGACCACCTCGACGTCCTTGAGTCGTCGTCGACCTCGTGATAGTACAGTAGTGACAAATTCCGACTCACTTGTCAGTGGTCAGAATTCAGCAACTCATCTATGAGCAGTACGTTCTAGAATGCTTTCTAGAACAAAAACTAAACGAAGCGCCACCACCTCAATATGTGACCACTCTCTCGTTGTCGTTCTAAGAACTTCCACCTACATGATCAAAGTGTAATTGAGTTGTTGGTAGTTTAGACAACATCAAAGCGGAAAGGTGTTAGAAGTCAGGGTATTAAATTCATAAAATTCTTGACGTTACAGGTATAATCATCCATGAGCTCGTCTTCATCTAGTTAATTGTGAGTCTTGCCTTCGCCTTATTAAGGTTAAGACTCTCTTCTATGATGAATATGACTAAGTTCTTGTTGTACTAAATGTAGATGGTGGCGCCATCCATTCTCGTTGTTGATGGCTCTTCCCATGTCTACCAACCGAGCAGACTGCTCTTGCATCCGATTACTCGAAAAACTGAAATAAGCGAGTAACAGACGAGAATAACCGAGACACTGACGAGAAGGAAGAGTAGCCTTGCTGTTAAGCTATGCCCCCTAATATTTCAGTCAGTAACTCGGTCGTTCAGTTTTTCGAATAGAACGTCAACAAGACTCGACCTGCGGATTGTCAATGTTGATTGAGCGTCAGATTTGAAAGAACTGATTCATGTCAATGTCATGTCAGATTTGATGAAACTCATAGTGAATTCCTCCTAGTCATTTATTAAGCAGGTCTACTTGTTCTTCAGTACTCAGAATTGTACAAGACTTGCTCAGATAGATCTAAGACTGTTGTTACTCAGAAGTCTAAGACTGGTGACGTAGTTCTGATGTTTGACAAATCTTCTGCAAAAATCTCTACAAGAACTCCAAAATATCCGGTGGAGTTCATCATGCAGCAAGAATCGGAATCGATGGTCATGCAGGGTCTCTTCAGCATCCGTCATGCAACACAACAAGATCAACAATTTCGTGGAAAAGAGCCTGCATGTCATAATGCTTGAGAGAAAGAGAGAGATCTCTTCAGCATAAATACTCAGAGGGAGGCATGACCATGGAGCCTTGTTTCAGCAGCAGATGCATGAAAGGAAAGGCTCACATGTTGCAAGAAAGCAAAGGTGGCTCGTCGAATGGGATGAGTGTCATGACGTGGAACTTTTCGGCTGAGTCGAAGAACACATCAAAAGTTCGACGTGCGTCGTGTAATAAAAGCCTATTAGGTGGCGTGCGTGCTGGTCAGCAAAAAATCGTAAAAGCTTTTGTTTTTGAGCTCATCTTCATCAGGGTCAAGAGATGACGAAGAACTATCGTCTCACCGTCCTATAATATCCATGATATAGTAGTTGAAAGATTTTGTTGATGCGGGTAAGAATATGCTTACCGGCAATGAATGGAACGTCTTCAAGTGAAGTCAATGAGTGACTGCATGAATGCCCACCCACTTGTCCAGCAGCCAGGGGAGGTATCTATAAAAGTAGACCACCACGCTACTACTTCCGTCTGCGGTACAGCGCGTCCTATATCCTGGTGGTCTTCTTATTCTTCCTTGAAGAGAGAACCACTGAAGCTTCCTTGTGAAAGAACCACAATTTTCGTGGCTTGAATCCTCTGAAGCTTCTTATTGTTGAAGGACTTCTGAATTTTGACCCCCTATTCTATCACGTCCTACATCGTATTCTATCATGTAATCTATCAGGAGAGCAGCGGAACCTAAATCCTGGCTGTCTTCTTATTATTCCTTGAAGAACCACTTTACAATCTCTACACAAGGATCTATCTTGTTGTCGTTCCTCCTCATGTTGACCTCTACCTTTCGTCGTCCGTTCTCTACCTTCAGCAAGACAAAACAGTTCCTGAAATGATCCTCTTCATCTAAGTGTAACAAACTGTCACTACGCAGTCTATCTTTTCAACAGCTCTAGCTACGTACAACAGGCAGAATACTCAAGTAGAGCCTGTCATAAGATTTTGTCCTGGAGTCGGTCGCTGTGGGTGCTGTTGAGGAGAGAGTTGAGCTTGAGCAGCTTTCACTTCCATCTCCTGTCTACGTCCTCTAATAGAGAGTATGTATTTAAAGTGCTTCTAAGCCATTTAGATTTACTAAAACCCTGATCTTTGTGCTTGTTGAGGAGGGTTCTCGAGTCATCCGGCGACAGGAGGGGGACGCGCGACAGGCATGTAGCTCATAGAAGTCGAAGTACTTGGTGGCGCACCTTGTTCCAAACCACTGGTGGGCAAAGTAGAAGAGTCAACATACTACTACCCATATTGATTGATTGATTGATGATGTGCCTGGCAAGAGGTCAAGTTATAATCATTTTCATGATCGTTGTCGTTCAGGTATTTGGTCGGGTTAATATAATCCTGGTGGAGGTTCATCGCGTTCGCATACTTAGTTGTTCGGCGTCGAAATATCAGTCGCGGCAGTAGAGGAAGATGGCAACACGTTGTGGTTCTGATTATGAATACTGTTGTTCAACAGAGGAACCGGCATAGAGATGTGAGGATATGTGTAGTTCTCGTTGCGAATCTGATCACTCTCAACAGGATAGTAGAAAAACGCGCCAGGAGGAGGCGGACAGACATCAGGTTCTTGAGGAACAGGATGAGGCGCAGACGTCGACGTGTTCCTGATGATCACAGTATTGCTGAGAAGATGACCAGAAGGGGAAGCATGATGGGGTTGATGATGCGCAGCGTTCATCATGTTGCTTACGACAACAGGATCACCGGTGGCAGCGTTCACGATCACGCTTCTGCTGTTGGGAACAACAGGAGCGCCAGGCGCGCCAGGTGGCGCAGGCGTGTTCATCATGATGTTGTTGGAGATTGATGAGGCTCCTGCTGGAATTGGTTCCCGCGAAACAGTTGTAGTACCAGCAGCAGTATAGTGATTGATCGTAGTTGTGGCAGAACCCGCTGCCCGAGTAGGACGAGAAGCCGCCGTTGTATTTGGTCCTTCGATTCCATGAGGAGAAAGTGGAGCATTTCGAAGAGCGTCACGCATTCTTTCCATCGCTTGGGTCTGCCTTTGAGCGTAAAAGGAGCCACCCTTATTTCCCTTCCTGCTCGTCGTCTGCTGATCGTAAAAGCCACCTTTTCCATTGGTCGTCATCCTCTGGTGATCAACGACAAGAAAACCTTTTCCACCGATCGTCGACGCTGCTGATTGAAGTTGATGAGTGGACGAGCCGAAGAAAGTAAGACCTTTTGCTCCCTGCTCTGGCGTATGCGGCCGATTAGTCCTCGTCATAGTTGCAAAAGTGCCATTCGAAATCATAGGCATAGATGGCGAAAGAGTAGCAGCATTCGCAACATGGCTAGGAGTGCCCCCCGCAGCCGTACTATTGCCAGTCGGACGAGGAGGTGTAGTAGAGGTTGGGCGTCTTCGGCTTCGTCTACTTCGCTGCACCTGTTCTTCTTCTTCTTGTCCGATGTTCATATTAGTCGCCATGGTGCTATTGAAAATCATCTGACTGATGGGCGAGGACATCATCTCGCCGTTTACATGTTCATCTTGATTACTACTTCCCTTTTCATTTTGATGATGGCCAGCACTTCCATTTTTTCCAGCATTTGGATGTTGTAGTTGATCCTTTCCGTTTTTATCACCTTTAGCAATCGACGGTGTCGTGGCAGTCAACAAACCACCACTAGCCTCCAACATGGCTGAAGTGAGAGTGTTGTTGTAGTTTCCATTTATTCCCGAAGCATTCTTATTACGCGGCTCGTCCGTTTTCTTCAAAGGAACCCATTTGTATTTGGAAACGGTAGCAGGAACAACGTTGTTGGTGGAAGATGAAGTGGACGGCGGCGTGCCCTTAGCATGATTAGGCTGCTGGTGCGTCTTTGCATAACCTGAGACGGGATCATGTAAGAGATGAAAGAGCAAATGGAGTCTCTTTACATCACATGGGGACGAGTCTCACATCACATGGGGACGAGTCTCTTCACATCAATACTGCGACATTGTAGACAGCTCTTCAGAGGACACTTGTAGTGGGTGGAGGAGCTGCTGTTGGTGAAGGCTTCCCGCTGTTGTTGGTGGTGGATGCTTCTCAACCTGGAGTTGTAATTGTTGAAATGCCAATTACATTTTTTTAGATAATTTAGATCATGATGAAATTGAAATAAGAGTAAGAATTTGAGCTTCATCTTCATGTCTCATCTACTGCTATTCATCTAAAAAGAAGTGACAAAGACACCACTAGGGTTGATGGTGGACCTAGATGGATAATCAAGTAGTACCCTTAGAGGCGCCAGCATTATTTCCGGCCTTTCTGCCCGCAGCCTTTCCACCGCGACCCTTAGCTTTCTGCGGGGAACGAGAAGCACTTTCGTCAGAGTGATTTCCTCCACGTGCACCAAAGTGGAGAGTAGCAAGAAGTTCCTGTATGTCTCCCTCATGCTTGATATGGTAGACGTTAGTAAACCCTTCCCAGATGGCCGGACTCTCCAACTCGCGAGCGCAGCCCTTGACGATCTTACGCAGTTCGCGCAGGGATTTCGTCGAGCCATAAGTTAGAAGAGGGGTTTTGTGTGGTGCAACAGATCACGATACACATTATTTTATAAAAGGTCCAAATTATAAGTCAACAATGCTCAACTGCTCTACTAGTACATGGAGATAGATTTTTAGATACTTTGCTCCTTCCATGTACTTAATTCAAATTTTCATCAATATCTCCTAACTTCCAACATGTTGAACATACTAGTACATGAGTACATTTACAACTAGTACTAGAGCCATAAATCCAGACTGCCTTCATGCTGGCGTCGATTAAAGATGCGCGAAGCGCAAGCAGAATCTTCGTAGATGTCTAGGAAAGCACAGTCCACCTCAACTCGAAGGTTCTTGTGTCTTTTCTGCACCTTTCTCGCTTCGTCCAGCCACAACCTGCGCTGCTGAGGAGTGTGATTGAGCCGATCGACGACGATGTAAAGCTCCTGCTGCAGCAGCTTTTTCTCCTTTTTTCTGGAAGCTCCGAAAACTGCGTCAGCCAGAGTGTCAAAATTAGCGGTAGAAGTGTTTCACGACTATGATCCCTGATCAACGAATGAATACTAGTTACCAACATTATCCCGAGGTACCCTTTTTTCCCCGAGTTCATCTTTGTTTCCCCTTGTGATTTCAAAAAAGTAACGGAAAGAACCCTTAATGAAAAACGAAAGACAACGGTGACGACTGCCCAGAACGTCTTGCGAAATTCGTTGGTAGCATTGAGGAAGCCGCGTGCAAAAAGTGCTTTTTCCGGCTCCTTGAAGACCGCAGAGGACAAGCACTTTTAGGACTGTTGTTGTGTCGAAGAAGAAAATTATATCGTAGTTTCATGCCATGTCATGGCGCAGCCTCTTTTGTAGCTACAATTGTCTACCTTTGAGGCCACCCCATACCATAGCACCTTCTAAGGGGAGCTACGACAGTTTCAGGAGATACTTTCGAATAATTCAACGACCGCGCTTTGAATGTGGGTATAGTTGATGAAAAAAAAACCGAACAAGCAGCAGACGAAAGTAGACATCTAGAAGCAAGTTTTAGTACTACGTACACCATCTTCACCATCTTCAGTACTAGAAAAAGCTGTTGTATCAAAAACAAAAATTAGCTATGTCTACTAGCATCAGTGGTAAGTACATTTTTGCTCTTTATTCGCTTCCAGAGGTGCACCAACTCTACTTCCATCCACCGCATTCGTGCAAGAAAAATTGGGACGCTCCACATCGAAGTATCCTCCATAGGCACCATAGCGCATACCATCAGCAAATTGAGGACCTTCTTCAACCACGACCGGCTGATCATATGCGTCCATCATCAAGAGGTCGTCATCCTCACTGCTGTAATCGAATACCCCAGATAAATCCAATTGGTACTTGGCGGGAAGCTGGACATTTGGATGTAGTCTAATGTTGTAGTCGAGGAGTGTGATGAGTGTCAGAGTCAGTAGCAGTACTTCTGAAGTAGATGTTCGTAACCCTAAACGTAAGCCCTAGTAGGGGATGATCATGAAGACTAGAAAGAACTCACTTGGAACCAATGAATCACATTCACATTCATAAGTAAATCGAAACTCATAAAATCCTTCTCCACCAGCATTTCTACTTCAAAGTAAGTACCTTGACTCTCCTCGCTCGATCTACCAGGTGCTGCACGTGTTTCGACAAGCTAGCATTCTCCGGAAAGGAGGGTACGCAAATTCCATGCTCACACACCAGCTTTTCCGTGAGTGTCCACAAACGTGATTTCTGCAAAGACCGTCTTGCGACAATAACGACGCTTAGACTTTCGTAGTGTTGTACGTCATAGATGAGCTGACGTTCTAGTTGTTGCGCTCCTCGATCAACATCCTGTTGTGCAGCTGGTTGTGCTGGTCTTCCTGCGAAAAGAGAATTATAATCACCTCGTGAGATTCTTGGTGTAGTCGTGGTCCTCGATCTTTCTGGGTGAACACCAGTATCAATGAAAGTGGAAATGATACTAGTGTTGTTTGCAAAATTGTTGCTCATAGGGTCCTGTGGATCGCGAGAAGATGAAGGAGGGCAATCTGCGTATTCGTTGGCGTTGCCACGTCCGGGTCGGTTTCGGTCCTGGTGAGCAAGAGCATCATGATCATGATTTTTTCCCTCTGGAAGAAATCTCTCTCGGCCTCTTTTGCTGTTCTTGTTGTTGACTTCATGTTCATCAGATGAGGGAAGAAGACTATTTTTGCGAAGATTTTTGGCAGTTGTTGTTGTACTTGTTCTTGAAGATGATTGCTGATGTTCCTCACCATAGAGAACTGGCATTTTTTGCCCAGGGAACCACACATCGTCGATAATCAAGTCTCCACCAGCCCTACTTTCTTCGCGCCAAAACTTTTTCAATCTCCCTAAGTCTTTCAACAGCTCCTTCCGCGGCACCTGAGACGGATCGAACTCGAATTTCAATTGTACTGCCTCTAGCGGATCCAAGTACAATAAGGAAAGCTCTCCATCGTGGCAGTCGATTTCGAACAGAGCCAAGGGATCCAATTCTAGGCTAGGTTCTTGCACCCTGTCTGCTCCAAAGTTTTGCTTCCTTTCTTGCAATTTTTCGTCTTTCCAAGCATCGAAAGTCACCCAGACCGATTGATCTTTCATTTTTGTAGGATCATTCTGGTCCGGCATTGCCATAGGCATTGTTGTCCACCATCCTGCTTCATCGTCCTCCTGTTTTAGAGGCAGAAGAAGTAGCAATCCATCATCTAATATCTTGTGCTGGAGCATCTTCATAATTAATAATGCCCGTTTATTCATCCCATATATTGTTGGCGGAGCAGGCCTAACTAGAAAAAACAAAAACCGAAAAAGAAAGGCCAGGCAAGTACTTACTTACAGCGACTAACTAAGCGCCGGCCCTGTTGTGGTCCTGTCAGCCCCAGAGGTCTCACCTTTGTATTAAAAGAAACCAGCAAAAGATAAAAAGCAAGGCTAACAAGTAGAAGACTAAGAGAGATGGATTTGTTCTGTTGAAGCCTTAACTCCTCCAACGACATTTTGTTCTTCATCAACATCTTTTTCTTGGCGCTTTTGGCCAAACGCAAATCCACAAAGCGACCATCATCTTTTTCGAAAGCTGTGAGGACATCACCTTGTCTAATATCTTTTAGAACATCGTTTTTGGTCACCAGCAGACCTTCAGGAATGCGGAGTAAATGTGTACGAATGGCCTCAAATGGAGGTAGGGGACCGCGACGTGGTGGCACAGGTGAAGGGCCAGGACCATCTTCATCGTCTGGAGCCCCAGCACTTCTAGGACCACCGCCACCTCCACTAGGACCACCATGAGGATGGAGTGAAGAACCACTACCACCACGAGGACCAGAAGCATGTTCATTCGGTTCGGAAGCATCCGTCGGAGACGCAACACCCGGAGCAGCTCGTTCAGGAGTAACCACGACATCCTCAAAAGAACCCTTATTCGGAAGGTCAGTATCAGGAGTTGGCGTGGTGCCATAGAATCCATGATCGTCTTTTTTGGCTCTTTTTTTGGCATTCCTCTGAGTAGGAGTTGGCGAAACCGCATCAAGATGAGTTGCCGGACTCTTCGGGTCGTTGAGGTTAGGATTCATCTGCTTCTTGTTTTTTGGACTAGGATCTACCTTTTTCGAAGAAGAAGAAGGAGAACTACTAGTAGGCTTCTTGTTCTTTTTGTTCTTCTTCTTACTCGGATCAGTTCCATCATCACCTCCATCATCTTCATCCCCATCCTTCCCGTCAGAGGACGAAGACACAGGATCGTAAAAGATTCGTCTTTCGATTTCTAATCCCACTTTGAGACGACCACCAGCATTTTGGTGTCGAAATTTGGTCGGACTTTGTCTCCGTGGAGGTATGAAGGATTCTTTGCCATCTCGGATTCGCTGCTCTCGCTTAGCAGTAGGCATGTGATCATAAGCGTGATGTTGGTCTTCTGCCACAGCCAGTTGTTGTTCTCCATCTCCTGCACTACGACCTGTAGTTTGTTTCGCTACAGCTGCTACACCAGTGCTTATGAAGTCGTCTTCTACCAGTAGAGCATCTAGAAGTTGGCCATTTCGATTTTGTTCGGAAGACGAAGAGTAGACTTCTACAGAATTCTTATTAGCATCTACTTTCAGTTTCTGTTTCCTCTGTAGTTTTTGTTTCATCTTCGCTTCTTGTTGTAGTTGTTGTTGTTGTTCCATGATCAAAATTTCTTCTATTATCTTTGCGCTCTCAACCCTGTCGAGGTCTCCTCTGGCTAGGGCATCCTGATACATCCTTCTCGCAGCTTCGAGCGCGAGTCCATCATCTTTTTCATTCCCATCAGCATCGAGACGATCTTCATCTCGTAATTCGAAGTAGTCGTCCCAGTGCTGTCTGTGCGCAACCTCAAGGACTATTTCCAGTGCGTTTTCCATCTTTTCCCAATCTTCATATTGCCGAAAGTCCTCCTGTAGCCAGTCTCCAGCTACCGAGAACACATCACCAACCTCTAAATTAGAGCTACCGCGTCGCTTCTCTCAGTAGACCTTCATCCCTGAACCCATTTTCCGTGTCTCTGAAAAAGAGGCCAAGGTGGATGGTGCTGAGGCAGAACAAGATGCGTTATATTAAAACCAGTTGTACTGTCTAGCCTTAAGTAAACCGCTGTTGTGATCAGGGTCAATTTCAAAAGCCTCCTTTTCGTCTGGATGCGCGACTCGGAAACCATCTCCGACCCATGCATGTAGCGTCAACCCACCGAGTTTGCCTTTCTTATCCAATTGAACAACCAAAGGAGCCAGTCGGTCATGCAAAGCACGATCCCGAGACCATCTAGACGTAGGAGAACCATCTCCTTCTTGAAGTAGTTCAGCGTCGGCTGCATATGGTACATTTACTGGTAGTTGGAGGAGGGCCCGTTGAGATGAACTTTGATGTGGAGGAAGCGGAAGTAGAAGTTGTTGTTGTTCATTGATGCCATGGTGGTCGTGTACTTGTCGTTCTTGATTCTGCTGCTTATTGTTCCCATGACTTTTTACCTGCTCCTGCTCCGGGACCTGGGGGACCTGCTGTCGTCCTCTATTCTGAAGGATCCGATCTTCCAGCTTATGCCGATCTTCTACTAGTGCCTTTTGCTGGTCAAGAACACTTGATGTTTGTTCATGTTCGGGTAGTGAAAGGACGAGGTTTCCCTCCTCTTCTTGATGTTGATCGCCTTGAGGCAGTTGATCCGGTTGAATCACATCTATTTGCTGCAAGCCGCCAGCATGCTCAGCATGTTGATCATGTTGATGATATAATTGGTGCGTCATGTTATCTTGTCCGTGTACAGAATCGTGCGGCATTTGATAACTGGTGTTGTTCTCTCCTTCTTGGCCCATTTCCTGGCCATCGTCATCCATTTTGTTGTCTTCTTCTGTAGGAGGGTCAAAATCCGCTTGTAGTTGGGCATGAGTCACTTTCTTGGGTAGAATAGGTGTGGTCGCTGCGGTCGTCATGGTGGCCACATCAATAACTGGTTGTTGCTTGTCGTTGTTTGTAGGAACCACCTTCGTGGTATTATTCCTTGTAGTAGTTGAGTTCGTCGATTTTTTGACTGCAAAAAGAACCCAGTTTTTACTCTTGCCATCTCCACGTCTGTCCTTGGCCTTGCTGATTTCTTGAGTCTTCTTCTTGCTGGAGTTTGCTGAGGTAGAAGACGCCGCTGAAGTCGAAGAAGTCGGCCACGGTTCCACAACAGCGACCTCCTCATCAAGGCCAAATCGTCCAAGATCGGATGATGGACGAGTTGTAGAACTAGAAGTTCTTGTTTCGGCAATAGGACTGCTGGAACGAGAATGACTGTAAGTATCCTTTAGATGTCGAAAATTTTTTCGTTCTCCAACTTTCAGTCAGTGTACAACCAACTTACTCGATCAGATTCAGACCATTCCCAACATTGTTTATTTAGTTCTAGTTTTCTTGCTCGCCTTATGAATACTTATTTTTATGTTGTGGTTATATGTCGCCGTTGTACTTCAACATGCTGCTTTCTATGCGTATCTTATTTATCTTTTTAATTTAGGTTAACATATGCGTGACGGAAGTCACGTCTTATAGTGTGGTCGCCAGTTGTCGCCTGTATGGATTTGGAAAAGATGGCAGTTTTTTCTTGTTTCTCTGACCGCATAATGTCATGATGAGTACGGGATGTTGAATGACGGACCATGTCAAGAAAAAAGAAAAGCCTTCGACGTCGACTTCGTGGTCGAGGACGTTGTTGACCACGCACAACTTCTACATCTACTAAAAGAGCTCATTGAAAATCCACCTGAAGCAGCCGGTGCCATCATGATCATGGTAATTCAACAGATAGACACGAAGTCGTCGCCAGCTACGCTAGTGTGGCATTGATATTCTTTTACCATTTTGTTCAAGCACCCCTTAGATCCCCCTGCGGGCAGAGCTGCTTTCCCTTTTTGATTTTCATCTTCTTTGGGGCAACGAGAAATCTGGGTCAGATCGTTCATCAACATGAAAATTCTTCACTTTCATCAAAGAGCCGATTTGAGATTCAAAACAGATATATTTATAATGATATTGTCTATGAACCGACGTAGAAGATGCAGAAGACGCTGCCCGCGAAATGCCGAAATGAAAATAGCGATCCTGCGATGAGAAAGGTTGACCCTTGGGTTTGGTCGAAGAGATCATTTGTGATCCTTTCAGGGACCCACCACTGAATTCAGAATCATGATGTTTAATTACGCAATATGAAGATCATTTGGCCGACGTCTTGTATTCATTAGTACACAGATGACGATCATACATTTGGCAGCATCAAGGACTCCGACTGGAACACGAAGGGAAACAAGCAACACGGGCAAAAAATGTCTTCAGCCAGCGCGTCCTCGTCCGCTGCGAAAAGCTGTATTTTGTTCAAGAACATCACAAGCATTGGGAATTCTAGTTGCATGATAGCGCGTTGTATGATGAGGCTGAGAGCCCGCGAGCGTTTGGTCGTCGTGAGTTCTTTTAAGAACTTTGTAAAAGCTGCATCATCATAATATTGGTACGGAAGCACTACCCCTTCATGACCAACAACATTTCTTTTGCAATCTTCAATGATTAATCTGACATCACCTCCTCGTTGATCTTCAATTGCCTTTGGTGATGCTGGACTGCTCTCTGGTCGCGGTTCTTCTTCTTGCGCAGACGCAAGAGTGTTGATCTGTCTGCATCTGGTGGCAACTCAGTCAGATTTCTTCGATGAATCGACTGCATCCTCTCACTGATAGCAGACTCCACTTGACTTCCACGGAGAGAACTTGCAGCCTTCTGTGGCAAGAGCTTGGTCTCTTGGAAGCGGTTGCGGCCGATCTTCTTCGGCTTGAGGACGATACCTGTTTGAGTTGCATTTGTGGATTAGGTCGCCGTATCGCCCGCATGAAAAATGAAGTGGTGTGGAATCTTTAGATGAATCACGCTAACAAAAGGGAAATTCATTTCCAACTCTACAGAGACAAAGAGAAAACAGAAAGTTGGACGAGTGGAACTTGACGAAGTAAAAATATCTGCACAGACATGGAGATAGAAAAACAAAAATACCTTTCTCTTCCATCTTTTTTTCTTCCTCTTTCAGTTGCGCCAGGTACTCCTTTTCCTGCTTTTTCGTCATGTTGTCAGTCTCCATCTCACGCATCAAGTTCGGCAATTGACCAATGGACTTGTCCAACAGCTTCTGACGCTTCTCAGCGGATAAGTTCTTCATTCTTTCCTTCAGGCGTCCCTCCTTGTTTTTCTGCGCCTTCGTTTTTCGCTCTTGGGCTTTGATCACCTTCTTGTTGATGATTCCAGAAGAAGATGTTGAAGAGGTGGTGGATTCCTTAGTGTTTTCTGACTTATTCTTCGCTGAAGGCGAAGTCGCATCTTCATCAGATTCCATCTCCTCCACGTCAAGATCCATGTTTTCCGCAATTAAATCCTCCGCAATCAATCTTCGGTATTCCTTCTGTCGCTCCGCTTCAGTCATTTTTGAGACTTCTTCTTGAGAGTAAGCATCCAAAAGCCGAGATGTCATCGGTTTCTTCTTCCTGGCTTCTTTTAGCGAAGAGAAAAACCCAACCTTACGCCAGCAACCCAGTATGGATTCCCCTTGTGTAAAACGGGAATGAGAAGAATGGGCTGTGTAAAGGGTTGGGTTTTTCTGTGCCTTAATTCTTGTTCTTCTGAGCGCATTTTAGCACACTCGTCGGCAACGACTTCGTCGACCTGGCGTTCGAAAGCTTCTTCACCTGGATTCATGGACAAGCCGGTTTCTGGCAGCACAACTGCTGGAGCAGCGCAGGTCTTATTGCTGTTGTTCTGTAGAGTAGTAGGCTTGCTATGCGGCAAACGCAAGGCAGAATCGTTGAGAACTCGACATTTGTGTCGGGTGAGCATGTGGTGAGTCTTGCGATCTTCGGACTTCTTGAAGAGAGAACCGTTGTTGAGGTTAGCGGTTTGTTCCAGGATAGAGCTTGAAGTCGCCTGCAGCTGCTTTGCAGCTTTCTCCTTCGCAGCTGCTCCTCCCCACAAATCGAATGCGTTTGCGTTACTCGTAGCTGCATCCTTAGAAGTTGTAGAAGAAGCCGCAGTAGTTTTCTTCGCATTTTTAATACCTGCTTTCACAGCTTTCCTCTCCTCCTTTGCCTTCACCTTCTCCACCTTCGCGATTTCATAATGGGACAGCTTGCTCAGTCCCTTCTGCTTCTTCTCCAACTGGACGCCGCGACGCAGAGCCTTGGGAAGACTCTTTTCGTTGCCATTGGTGTCGAAGTAGAACAAGTCACCAGACTTGAGCTTTTCCTGAGCCTTAGCGGACTCGTTCTTACGCACGAGACTGCGCTCAACGTCAGTCACGTCGATGCGACGAGCCCGGGCCTTTGCGTTGCGTTTGACCATTTTCTTTTGCACTAGAAGGTTCAAAAGTACCTTAACTTTGAATTTGATGTCGTTTTTGTAAAAATCGGATTTAGAAGATCTACTTCAGTTATATGGCTAGAAGTTGTTGTAATTACCACCTCCCGAGCCTGGATATCACGAACAAGAACGAAGATAGGATCAACAATACCGAATACAAAACTTTGCAAGTGGCTGAACAAACCATGCCACCAGACCAAGCTGAATGTTGGATCTTCCACCTTCATCTTGCAGCCCGGATCAGTCCTTCGGATCATTGAGTAGACTCATCAACTTTGTCTCACGGTTCTTCTTGGTCGTGGATCTTTATTGTGTGCGTTTGTCATCATCTTTGTAGTAGTTTCTGGTGGAAACAGATCAAATATTTTTCCTTTCTCAATTGCATCAGAACCAAGGATATGATCAGATTTGACTTGTCATTTTTCCAAGCATCATCCACCGCCAATCGCTAGTCCAGAGAAGTCACAGTCTGCTTCCTAGAACAGGCTCACAAGACAGGAATGATCGCGCTAATAGTAATATCTTCTATAACTTTTTGTTCGAGTTGGAGTTTCAGTTTATTTCACATTCATTCTGGTAGGAAAAACATTCAGTTCTCGGAATCTCGAAATGGTCAAGTATATACCCCAGGAGTCTTTGAGTTCTTGTCCTTCTCTGCAGCTGTTGTTGTAAAAATTCACTTGCAGTACTTCTACTTCTAGTTGAACTACAAGTAAGAAGTAGTTGTCGCAAAATAAATAAATGCTTCAAGGAGCGTCGTAATGTATTTACTCTGTCCTCGTGCTCTTGTCCAAGGTGACAAATACACCCTATGTCCCATACCCAGGCAAATCGAACGGATTGGATCCGTAAGTCCGAGGCGGCGACAAACTCCGGGACTGCTCTGATCGCCGTGCTGGAGGCAGAAAGGGTGACCCAGGAGCTCCTGGAACGGCTACTTTTAGAGGTAGGCTTTTGGTGCTTGTTTTCCCTTAGGATCAAATTCAGGTTACCAAATACCAGAACCATTCACCGCTTGTTATGCCTTTCTCTCTCCCTTAGGATGAGAGAGGCATAAAAAGCGGTAAGAAAAGCACCTTTAAGTTTAACCTACCCTTAATACTTGCATCGAGGAAGATGCTTGTCCAACTCCTGGATGAGGGTGAAGGAACGTTACTGGTGGCGAAGCGACCACTCCGGAAGGCGTTGCTCTGCCACTTCGGATCATCATTTCAGGTGGTGCACTGGCACGCCCATGCACGGGAATATCTGGCGGTCCACCTCCTCTCGCAGCTTGCAGAAGGATCGGGGACGAGCCAGCTGGGGAGACGCCTCCCCTCGCAGCTGTGGATGGGGGACCGGGAACTTCTGTGCTGGTGGGTCTTTGATGTAGTGGGTCTACGCTTGGTCGGGAAGGCGGTTGCCGAAGCTGGAGCTCGGGACCTGGAAGGCGGCGTACGTGGAGGAAAGTTGTTTGTGGCTGTTTCTGAGAAAGACCAGCAGCCCCTTCTAGTTTTTCAAAGACTAAACAAAATCAAAATGATCACTAGAGAAGTGCTCCACCTAGATAGTCCTTGTTCTACTAGTAAAGAAACAGATAAAAGTACCATCCATATTGATCCTTAATCGCACTTCGCCTATCCTCCTGTTCTTATGCTCCAAGGCGACCCAGTTTTCGAAGTTTCCTTGGTGATTTCGTAGGATGTCGCTCACACTCAGATGCGCTTCTCCTTCGCGCTTGTTCATGCGAAACATACGTTGGCCATGCAAGATGATCTGAACGTAGCTGTCTTCTCGCCAACGGAAAAACGTGAATGCTTCGATCGTGGAGCAGTAGGTCTAAGTGATTATTTGACGTGTAGTTCTTGATTAATTGTTTTCCAGTCTTGAACGGCAGACGAACTCGTCAAGCACCAATAAAAGCTATCATGAGTCCTCGTGTTCTTGTAGTTCTTTTATCTTTGTGTACCTCTTCTACAAGGATGAAATTGATTAAGAAGTGTAGTTTACCCCTTTACCATACAAGGATTAAAAACACAAAAAATACTGTCTGCCTCGATCCCGGCACGTCTGTCCAGTCCACCATTTGCTGCGAGCGTCCGTCTAGCGCCACTTCCACTTTGAACGTTCCACTCCTTTCGATGTTGCGGAAGCCCATGACGATCACCTCGACTACCCTAAGCGTCTCATGATAGCTGCCTGGGGATGCGGCTGAGTGCGGCACAGGCGATTCCGGTGGCGACGTAGAACTCGTCGGAAAGGAAGAAGATGATTAAAGATGAGGGTGGTGTGGGGGATCTTCAGCTTCACTATGCGGATACGAGCCTCCATCAAGAAGATGAAAGGGAAGCAGAAGATTTCTTTCTAACAACTGTAAGTACATGATTATTTCCATCAAAAAGGTGGCACTGATATGGATCATGAGAGAAGCTTCAATTTGAATCCAGCACCTCATCCTCATCATACCTACTCACACTATTCGAGCTGAAGTTTCTTGCTGCATTTGCGGTATTAGCAAAGAAGTCATGGGAGTCTGCGAAAGGATCACCGAAGTCGAAGGGATCAACGCCTTGTGGCGCTGCAGGCGCGCTTGCTCGACTGCGACCATACGGTGCTGTTCCTGCGGTATGCCGACTTGGTGGTGGTCCAGAAGGGTTGCTGCTTCGAGGTTTGTTGTGGGGTGGGGAAGGCATTAGAGTATGGATGAAACTGTAAAATTTGCTCAGAGGAGGACGACTTCTACATACGCCATCTTACTTCAACTTCGTCACTGTCAATACTTCAATGTCGATCCGTCCATAAAACAGACCCCGAAGACGACGATGAACTGCTACTTGTCGAACTCTCTTCGTCGTAGTTTCGCTGCGTCACATCTGGAGGGCGTGGCCGCGGGCGTTGTGTCGTGGTTTTCGTAGAAGATGGGCTTCTACTTGCATCCGCCGGCCTAGACGGCGACGTCGGGTTTCCAGAAGATGAGGCAAAGGGGTCGAAGTCTGCAGGCGTTGCAAAGGGGTCGAAGTCGGGAGGTGGTGGTGAGCTGCGGGCGTCTGGCGAGGATGTTTTTGACGGTGGTCCTCTTCTATCTCCCTGTGCTGTTTTAGAAGTGCCATCTTTCGATGGAGAAGTAGATGGGCTGCTTGGTTCTTGTGCCGCAGCTGACGAACGTGCTGGTCCTGGCTCGGCGGCCTTCTTCTGCGTGCCAGCGCCAGCACTAGTCGTAGCCTTATCCTTCTTGTTATCCTTATCCTTGCTCGCTGCATCTTTCGACGCACCTCCTGTTGTTCCCGTTCCAGTCGCGCCATTCTTATCCTTGTTCTTGTCAACATCGCCTCCAGCAGCTCCATAATTGGTACTACTTCTAGCCTTATTTTTACTGTCCTTCTTGTACTTGTTGTACTTGAAGTTTCCATCATTGTCGTAAAGTCGATCGAGCTCTCGGAACGACGCGTCGATGCGTTGGAACTCTGCTGTTTCGCCTTTCTTATCTGGATGATGGATGCGGACTAGTTCGCGATACTTCGCTTTCAGGCAAAAATGAGAAGAAAGAGTGTCTATTTTTATAGCAGTGACTGACAGTCGTGGGTTAGTTTTTTTTATAATCATCGTGTCCTCTACGACTACGTAATTTTTTGCTGCTACGATGAACAAATGTGAGACGTTTATCTACTTGATGATGCGGATGCGCATCTTCAGAAGATCATGATATAGATATTAAATATTAGACGAGGTCAAAGAGCAGGACTACAAGTAGTAATACAAATACAACTACATCAATGTAGCACCATGATGGAAAAAAACTCAAAATGCAACTACACTCACAGAACGAATCTTCCGAGTCGGGTTCGGGTAGAGCAATTTTCATAAATTTTCCGAGTCGGGTATAGCAATTTTATCTCCTCCTGATCCGGGCGTGAATCGAGGCCATAGTACTCCATTTGTCCTTCGTTTGGAACAACTGTTTACTATGCATCTTTAGGTGTGCGTCCCATGGAACTGCTGACTAGAGAAGTTATAGAGTTAGCTGCCCAAGAGTTATGTCCCATGATAAGTATTTGTTTCTCTTTCATCATAGATTTCGATGGCTTTCGCTGTCAGCATATTCTAACTTTTCAATCGGTTCTAACCTTTTTTCACCGATTGAGGCACTCGCAGACTGAAGACAAGCTTCTGACGTTCCAAGCCTTCGCGACAGACTCTATTGCAGACTTCCGATTATTCGCCAGACATCTTCGTCATTACTCACTAGTCTTCCATTTGCTGCTGCATCCAGATCCATGCTGTTCTTCCTTTGTGGTGCAAGAACTTCAGAAGCAACTGCAACCTTTCTAGTATCTATAATCGTGGTGAACCAAAAACCAACGTGGCTGGCAGCCATGTTGGTTTATCAAATAGTAGGCGTTCAGGTTCATTTTAACTCAACAACAACATCCATCTGCAGAATTGCGGTGATTTTCTAGCCAGCGTTGCTGACAGAGACAGAGAGGACAAACTAGTAAGTATTTGCTGATGACATCGAAGACATGCCGGTGGACGTAGTGGAAAAAGAACTACCAGCTGTAATATGAGGTATTCACAAGAACAAGTGCTTGCGTTGTTCATGATGCTGAAACTCATTCACTTGTTCATGTACGCAGCAGGAGATTCTAAACATATTGAGTTTGATTCTTAAAAATGAGGGGGGTACTAACGAAAACGATGATAGTCATGTGAGTATGCAAAGCAATACCACATCATGTGATCATGTCGTGTCGTGTCGAGCGACTGCGAGTGTGGTACATGATGAAATACTGATCGTTAGTGCTAGATCTGGAAGCGAAGAAACTGTCTTTCAACATCATCTGCTTTTATACTCACGATGAAGATGAGGATGACTAGTGTGTAAAGAAGTATGGTGTTATTTGAGTTTCTACTTTCTATTTTAGAAAAATAGACCTGTTGTACCTATTCTAATCCTGTCGCGCCAGTGTCTCCATCTCCGCCAAGCACTTTGCTGTGTGACCGGCACACGCAAGACACGTGCTGAGTCCAATTTGAGTACCACAAACGACCCCACAGACGTATAATTGTGCCGCGTTAGAGAATGAGGTTGAGAGAATTTTCTCAAGACTCTGATCTTCCGACTCCAACTTCTGCTTATACGAAAAATACGAACTTCTGTAGAAGTTGAGCTGCAATTATATTACCACGAAGATAGGGAACGATCAGTAGAACTGCAACTACTGACATGTTGTATTCTGATGTAGGAGATGATAACTGTCATCTTCTCTAGTCGGGACTTACAGAAGATACATAGTGGTTTTCTGTTCCGACCATAATAGCGACACTGCAGCAAGCAGTCGCCTTCAGTTTGAAGTGATCTTGATCTTCTCCGGTACAACAAAAACGCAAATTCGGATATTGTTCCACAAACTCGTTTCGTAGTTTCTCTGTCGGATGTACAAAGTGTCGATCTAACGAATTAATAAAGATGTCTATCATCTCTTGTTCTTCTTGTTGGAGGCCACCTGCGTTTGTGGCATCGGCATTAAAGGGTGGCTGCAGGTTGCTTAGCTCTAGGATGTCCCTCAGCGCGGGCTCGGCATCTGGATAAGAGGCAATATAGTGATGACAGCTTTTCAAATACTCTTTCAAGAATGGCAAGCCAAGCTTTTCTTTTAGAGATTCCAGAAAGGGGATGAATGGACACTCTAGTATGCGTGACACTGCTGCCGCAGTCAACCAGAAAGAAGCTGCAGTAAGTTCGCAAGCACCGTGTGCAGTTCCGCAAACACACTTCTGCAAAGCCATTCGCCGATCTTCTGGGTCTACACGTTGTACACTTGCCAATCTATCACCGATCGATGATGTTCTCATCACATTGTTCGATGAAGTAGGAGCAGATGATGGCGCGCTATTTCCTGTTATTGAAAGCTGACGTGGAGGAGAGACAGCTGGAGGAGAGACGTCAACCCGATGCAAGTAAGAAGTTGGTGTGCCATGCGTCGATGTTCCTTCAGGTCGTGCAGAAGGGGGTAGGAAGCCTGAAGCTGAAGCCGCAGGACCAAATGAGGCTGAGTGCGTAACGGAGGTAACGCCAGCAGACGAAAATGGTTCTCCTTCTTGTACGACAGGGCCATTCCCATGTTGCAACTGGACCACTCTAGCACCTATCGGAGTCGATGAACGAGGCACCATCCTCTGTTGCGCTGGCGCCATCTTCAGGCTTAAAGCAGCAACGGTCGTGGTCCATGAAACACAGGACCACAGGGTAGACGAGAGGGTTTTGGAGAGAGTTCTCGACGACAACATCTTGTTCGTTGTAATGTGTCTATACTGTGGTGCTGGTGGTGGTGGAAAACCTTGCTTTTTCCTCAAAGGTACTATCGTGTTGATCTTGATGTCGTCGTGCTTGTTGTTGTTGTAGAATTAGTGCCTACAACAAGAACAAGAGATGAACGCTTTCTGAAGAGTTCGTGCCTCTGCCTGCGTGGTCGTGGTGGTCTGATGAAAAAATTAATTTTAATTATTGGTAGACCAGGGTTCCGTTGCGGATTCGAAAACGCAAGAATATCAGAAGGCTTCTAGTACTTGTTATGCTTTTTGAAATTTTCAATACGCAATTGCAGCTGGTTCTTCGAAGATGAATGTGGACTACTAGTCCAAATACTCTACTCATGCATGCAGACGCACCAGAACGAATTGATGCACTATAAATATTAAAAAACTACAAGGTACTTAACTGAATCGCTTGACTCTAGATGATCACTGTATTCCAGGAGATCGATGATAGACCTCAACAACAAACTTGTCTGCAAGAACCAATTTATCCTCCAGCCAAAGCCTGCTGCCTTTCTGTTTCGTCTTGGACTACCACAGTCAAATGAGCTTCACAAAGAGCCCTGAAGACCGAACATCTGCGTTCTGCCATGATTTTTTGGGTTGTAGTCTGCGTACGCGCGAGCAGCTGCACCAAAGACTTAGACACAGACAGCAAATCCTCAAATCGGTAGCGCTCGACGCCTGATACCCGTGATAATGCCGTACTGGCAGCAGCTGTGTTGTAAACTACTTGCCCACGACCGCCCGCTTCAGCTTCTTGCGCCTCCTCCGTGGTTTGTCGTTCGCCGGAAGATGATGACGCAGCAACTTCATCTTTTGTGAGAAGGTCCGATGCTTGCTTATCTTGCTGCGCACCTTCTTGATTCACCAAATCAGTATCTCCTGTTTCGATCGTTAGCTCTGCTCCTCTAGGGTTTTTCCCTCTTGAAACTACTCCTGTTGCCCTTGTCGGATCGTTCTGGTCATCATCATCTTCTTGTTGTTCCAATGATAATGCTTCACTCGTACTACCTTGTTGCTCCACCGCAGTTCTTCTATCATCTTCTGTTGTCTGAAGAAGAACTTTCCTACTTCTTTCCTGCTCAGCTTCTCTTTCCGCCATTTCCCTGCGCTTCTTCACCATCGTCTCCAAATCCCGGACCAAAGAGTTCAACATTTCGTCGACGATCGGCCGTTCGCGTACACCAGGCTCTAGGCCACCTAAAAGGTCTTTCAGCAAGGTGCCCAACCCATTTCTAACCTGAGATGCTCGCATAAGCTTGCCTGGGTTGAGTTCTTCTTGTTCTTCCTCATGTTCATGATCTCGATGATCAAATTCGTATCGTTCATCTTCTTCCTGTAGAGAACCTAGAGAGGATGATGAACCACTTCTACCTAGTTCTTGATGTTGACGAGAAGCTGTTTGTGTTTCGCTTGACCTACTTGCGTTCACCAGCTTCATCCCAACGACTGGAGCATCCACGCCGAATATTCTCTCAATCCGCAAACGAAAAGCGAGTCTCTGAGAAAAGAGTAGCCAAGAAGCCACCTTGATCAGAAGGGCTCGCGGTGACATGAGGAGAGGACCTTGGTTGCGACTGGGACTGGCGGAGTCATGAGCGTGGTGCACACTTTCTTCAGTAGCGTTTTCAAGGACAAGCTTATCCGCGTTCACCTTGTTCCTCGACATGCTGGCTGTTGTAGCCGTTGTACTAGGCCCGAACGGGGGTCTTGCAGAAGTTCTTGACCCCGCTCCCCGCATCATGTGAAGCAGATGCTGCAATGACTCAGGTAGCCACAATCTTGCCTCTTCGTCAGCAGGTGCGCCAACCCTGGGACTCGATGAAGCCAACAAATGGGTACATACACGTCTGTAAGTGGTATACAGGCGTGGTCCGTCTGTAAGAAACGAGGCAGCTGTTAAGGACGTAGAGGATGAAGACATATCTGAAGAGGTAGAGGAGGAACAGGAAGTGAACGCACCAGCTGTGTGTGATGAAAAGACATTGTTTCGATCATCCGTGTCTTCAATCTCAACCTCAGGAAACGGATGCTGACAACCTGGAGGCAGAAAAATGCTTTGAAGGTGTTGGTGTTGGTCTTGCTTGCCCCCAAAAGGTAGTGCTCTGGTACTAGAGCTATAGCTACTCCCAATACGTCCACCACGACCTCGTCCTCCTCCGCATGCTGCTAGCATCTGATTGATGACGGAACCACTTGTCGTCGTTGATGCCGAGCACCAATAGGTCCGACTAGACGAATTTGATGACGAAGATGTTCCACCACCACCTCCAGATACACTTGAAATCTTATTGACGACAGGCGACGCAGGACTAAGCCGGATCTTCGCCCCGCTGCGCGGTGACGTCGGGATGTTGATGTTGCTTGTGGTAGTTTTCACTGGTGCTCCTGCGGACGATTCACTCGACCTCAAGGTACTCCGTCGCATGCCAATAAGCAAAACATCAAGTGCAATAGCGGGCGCCATGAGAACCGTGACGTCGAAAGTAGACAGATCAGGGTGCCTGGTTATCAGAGTAGATGATGGAGATTCTTGACGATGCGATGTAATGCTAGAGGTAGTGTGAAGATAGAGGAGAGTAGCAGCTGGATAATTACTTTGCATCAAGGCAGAAGGAAGGGTAAAAAAAGTCTACCGATAATCACTGGTGCACTGTGGCTTCTCCCATGACGAAGGATCTCCTCCAGACGTGACATTTGCTACTACTCCCGACGCAGCCCCCCCAGATACCTTCATCGGCCTCAATCCCATCGCAGGGTCATGTGTCAGAAGAAACGGGACACACCACGCGTCACAGAGAGTTCTAGTCTTCTCTATGATTTCTTCGAGACAGGCTTCCGCATCTGGTAGAAAGCACACTTTGTTCCAAGCGGCAAGGACTTTGGACCAGGGAAGGGTGTGGTACTGATACTGTCTCGAGGAATTGCGAGAGCCATGCTTCGTTGACGTCGCTCCGGGTACGACTGTCGTTGTCAGGCTCCCCGTCTCCAGATCAATGTTCAGCAAGTTGTCCTGATGTTTACCAGGTGATGAACCGGAGTTATTCCTCTCTCTGCCTATGCGCCCTCCAGGATCCTCAATCGCTTTCGAGTTGTTTGAATTCGTCGTAGTTGCAGAACGATGATGATCTTGCTTACTAGAAGAATTCTCTTGAAGACCAGCATTAGAAGTTGATGAGCATCCACCACCTCCATGTTGTCTGTGCAGCTGGGCAAGTGCGGAAGACATATTGTTCTTCGAACTTGATGCTGACAAAGCACCGGCTGTAAGGTTGATATTAAGATTCTGCAGAGGCGATGCTAGATTGAACAGTTGCCCTCGTGGAGAATTATAGGTGTCTCCTGATGTGCAGCTCCGAGAAGTCCAATATGCGTGGCTCTGACTATACTCGCGAAAAAACATACCAGTTGCTGAGATTGGACTCGAGGATCCACGCAGAAGTTGCCTGTTATTGTAGTCCATCAGTGTTCGTCCATCGTCGTCTCGTCCACCTTCATCGAGCTGCCCTTGACCTTGTTGACCTTCACCTTGTTGGCCCTGTTCTTGTTGCTGAAAGTAAAACGCAAGATTTGCAAGTGCGGCTACGCGATTTGTTGTCAAACGCTTTTGCCTGACCGTGTCAAATCGTCGTCCCACCTTAGCGAACCGGTGAAGGGCTTGGAGTTTGAGTCGGTTCTCACTTGTGACTGCAAGTCGCAAGATTGAGGATGTAGTGTGAGTGGATGTGGAAGACGCTGTAGTTGGTGTACAACTATGGTCTTGGTCGCCTTGTGTACTATGGTCGCCTGGTGTACTATGGTCCTCGCCTGTAGTAAGAGATGACGTAGAGTAGGTCGACAATTGCGCAACGCATTTCAGCACGTCAGCAATTGTAAGCTCGTCTCGATCAGGTGCGATGTAATTGTCCAGAGATGAAGGCACTACACTACTGGTCAAGAGGGTCCCGGAAGACGTCGCGGTGCCTCCTATTTCAACACCTCCTTGATGTTGACTCATCATGTGCATTTTCTTCCTGGCACGTAGTTCTTCTCGTCGCTCTCTCTTCATTTGGCACAGTGTTCGAAGCATAGGCATCAGACTGTCGTAACCCGGGGAACTGCATTGGTCTAGGAACATCATAAGCCCACGATGGAGCTGCCAAAGTAACATCGAAATCGAGGAAAGACGAACTTTTCCACTGCGCGAATCCGCTTTCATAGCCAGGAGCATCTCGATGCGTGTTTGCAAGTCTTGCTGATCCTCTTGCTGGTCAACTGCAGTGGGAAGTCTTGACCTCCTACTACAACTTGGTGCAGACGCAGACCGCTGTCCAGAACAGCGCGTTTCCCATGACGCAGTGGCTCCATCGACGGCGAAAGGCAACCAGCAACCAGATCCGCAGAGAGGCTGAGACGGACCGCTGACGAAGAAAGAGTTACTTTGCAGAAGACTCGCATGTTGTTGCATTGCTTCAATGTTTTTGGGAGATTAGAGGTAGAGTGCTGGGTCAACACCTAGGCATGCCATGATGCACTACGAAAATAAATCTTTATTACGTGCTAAAAAAGCAGAATTTATTGCCTCGATCAATCGGGCCTTAATTAGACGCGAGTGTCGCCGTACTACTATTCCCCACGGCACCAGTCGAAGATGCAACTGCCCCAGCCAGACCCATCGCATGCAGATGCTCCGTCAATGCAGTCCCTCTGTTCAGCAGACAGTAATTCGTTGCAGCTGATGATGACAAGGGATTTCCAGTTCCACCTCCTGCTCCACCAAGGCCACCAGCGTTTTGACCACCACCACCATAGCCGGATGAAGATCCTGATTTTTTTGCTGCATTGATGTGTGCCTGATTTCGTGTTCCGACACCAGTGCCATGAGCACCAGACGAGTTCAAGACGGAACCAGCACGTGAGAGACCACGTTCCACTACGCGCGAGGCTGAACGGCTAAGCCCAACACGCTCACTCCGCCCTTGCGTACCTCCGGAGCCCGCTCCGGTGCCGCTGCCCTGGTAAGTTGATCATAAAGATGGTAAAAAACATCATGAAATAAGTAGAGGAAAGTCCAACTACAAACTTACACGACTAGAAGTAAGTAGCCCCCTGAAGAACTCCAAAATCATGAAACTATTATATATTGTGGCACGGGACGAGAAACCTAATACTGTCGAGGTGAAAACTAACCGGTTGTCTTACTTAGTGCTTTGAGCGCCGCAGGGCCTAAGCCATCACCGAAACTATGTAAGCCGCCCCCAGAAGAACTCCAAAATGAAACTATTATATATTGTGGCACGGGAGAAGCCTAATATTGTCGAGGTGAAAACTAACCGGCTGTCTTACTTAGTGCTTTGAGCGCCGCAGGGCCTAAACCATCACCGAAACTATTATATTTACATGCCCAGAAAGCGGGCCCATCAAGGGCCCGCTGCGCTGGGCATAGGTTAACAACTAGACAGGTTGACTACTAAGAGACAGAAAGACAAACGAAAAAAGCCGCCAAGTCTGCTCGCCAAGGCTGGGAAGCTGACTCCCACTGTGGCGAGGCTAGTGAGGAGGCTACCGCTATGGCAGGCTACTGCCTTGGCCAACTTGCTTGCTAAGAGCAAGCCAATGGGCGCCAAGGCTGGCCCGCTGAGCGTCATGGAGTCCATGAGAAGGCCACGCCTGGACATATGTAGGCACAGAGGTTGGGCCCTTTTG